ACATTTTTAGACAAAAAGGACTTTCACACAAAAATAGTTTTTTAAAAAAATAATATTTTTGGAAGTGCTAGACTTGACACTTAGAGATTTAAGAGTACAAATTGAACTTTGGAGGGAGGTGAGCTACTAAAGAGCCACTTAATAACCAAGCCTCTTCAAGTAAAAATCTCTAAACCCCCTTGTACTTTTGTTTTGCACAAAGCAATTTTTCACAAAGATCTTTTTCAAAAGAAAATAACAAGCAAGTGCCTAATGTGTACAATTATCAATGCTTGAAATCATAAATTGCTTGAAAACATAAATGACATGAAAACATAAATTGCTTGAAAACTTAAATTGTTGAAAACATAAATTGCTTAAAACATAAATTGCATGAAAACCTAAATTGCAAGAAAATTAAAGGCAAGAAAACATAAACTAGGCATTTTAAGCAAGTAAACCTAGGTGAGAGCTTGGAAAGTACCAAAGACTTCCAAGGACCACTCTCACAAGTACTACACGTTTTTACCTACTTGAAAACATTAAGGAGAGATGGAGATGCACCAAAGGCACTCCAAGACACTCCTAAGAAAGGCCTTGTACAAAAATGAGAGAAATTGAAATTTACAAAAAAAAAAATGAAATGCAAATTTACACCAAATGAAATGTAAATTTACACTCAAATGAAATACAAATTCACACCAAATGAAATGTAAATTCATTCTAAATGAAATTAGTGGCTACACCTAATTTTTAAGAAAAACAAAATTAGCCACTAAATTAGTGACAAATTTATAGACGAATTTTCAAGGAAAATTTTGTAACAAAATTTCCGTCTCTAAACTAGTCACAGATTTTCACAAAATTTTCACAAATGTTGTTTCTCTTTGTCTTCCAATTCAGCCACCAATGTTGCAGCCGTCACTAGTGTGTCACTCCTCTTTTAGAAGCAACCTTGATGTTGGTCACTCCTAGGTGTTTAGTTTCCCAAAGCCCTTCCTCCAATGGAGAGGCAAGCTTCCTATGCAACCTTGATGCTGAAATTTTGGGTTTTAGTTGAAATGTTAGGTTGTTGAATAAATTAAGAACTTAAAGTTGGTAGAATTTCTGAAATTTGTAGTTATGGGGATGGATTCGAAGTGGGTTGCATGTTGAAACTGAAGTTTTGATCTTCTTGATGAAAGGTTAAAATGTTAATGATTTTTGAGTTATGGTTTATGATGTTACTTTTCTTGTGATTTCTGAGTTGTATGTTGTTAGAGTTGGAAGATTTTGGGGTTGCATGCCTTGATTATTGCATAGGTTGGAAGGATTTGGAGATTGGGTTGTCCATCTACATGCATGAGTTTCTGGGTCTAGGATGTTGAACGTGAGTTTTCACACTTGGCATGAGAGTTTGAAAGTGTTGTTGGGAAAGTTAGGTTGAGCGTGAGAGTTGAAATGTGTCTCTGGAAGGTTGAGGATTAGTGTGAGATTTTGCACTGAGCGTGGAGACTTTTTAAAATAAATTTCTTTTCTAATTGTGATGATTGCTTGCTTGACGAATGAGTTGTATGTTGGAAGCTTGTTGTTTGAGTTGTTTTATGGTTAAATGATGATGAATAAGTTGTAGGGATGTTGTAGTATGATAAGGAACTTTATAATTTATATGTTGAATGTTGATAAATTATGTGTTGTTGATTATGTTGTGAGTAACTAGTTGAAAGTAAATTCGAGTAATATGTTGTCTAGTTTTGTAGCTAAGTTGGGAATTTATATGCATAATGTTGATGTGTTGTTGAGATGTATGATGAGTAAGAAGTTGAAAATGAATAATGATGATTGAGTTGTGAGATGAGGAACTTTATATTGATTTTGTTGTTGTCTTGAATATGCAAGACATTGTTGTGTGTGTTGAATTGTGATGATCACTTAGGACTAGAGGAAAGATTTTTGAAAGTTGCATATCTCATTGTGTGAATATTGTGTTTTGATGCTTCAAGAACCCAATTTGTTAAAAATCCTTATTAGAAAAGCTAACCCTTAAGGCAAATAGTTGTGTCAAGTCTCCTCTAGGACTTTATTGGTACCGTGTGTGGATAAGGTCGAGACACACATGTATAAAGTGACCAATTGAGTAAAGTACAAAGTCAAATATTTAGTTCCTAACTAAGTATAAGAAGATTATAGTATTTGGAGGATAGTTGGTGGGCTAATCCCATAGTAGGCTTATTTAATCTAGTTATTGTCGTGGTAGTCTCGTACCTAGTTGTTATATCCTGGCAGTAGTATTATACTTTCGTGTTTAAGTGGCGACATCCAAGAAACTAAGTTGTTATGTTGTGAATTTATATCCAATTTGTTGTTGATCTAGCAAGTAAAAAAATATCACCATGTGTTTTCGGTTTGGTATGATCAAACCACTTAAACTATTGACCTTGTGTTATAGATCTCCTAGTTGCAATGTGTGACAATGCATATAATTGTTGTGTCAAACATATGATGTGTTGAGTTGATTGTGTTGTTCACATGTTATGTTAAAAATTGTGATGAAATGTGTTGTTGTTATGTTGATCTATGTTGTATACTTTGATGCTCCATTGTTGTGTTGTCAAAGATGAGATAATGTGATGTTCTTGTTATATATGTATATATATATATATGAGGAGGGATCTGTTTACTCCAAGAGTAAGTATACCTAGACTTACTTCATTCTATAACTCATGTTCTATATCAAATCTCAACGATTCAATCGTTGAATTTAAAGTTCTTAATGCACAAATCAAATTTATAAAAAATTTTAAAACTTGAAAACCATTTAATACTTCATTTCATTAATTCAAATTGACAAATAATATGTTTTTATGATTATCCGTCAATTTGAATATATGAAATGAAGTATCAAATAATTTTCAAATTTTTAAATTTTTTTTGCAGATTTGATCTATGCATTAATAACTTTAAATTCAACGGTTGGATTGTTGAGATTTGATATAGAGCATGAGTTATTAAATGGAGTAAGTTTAGATAGACTTACTCCTAGAGTAAACAGATCCCTCCTTTCTCTCTCTCTCTCTATATATATATATATGTGTGTATGTGTGTGTTTTTCTAGTTTACCCGTGCATGTTTTTATATAATTTGGACTATGATGATCATACGTGGTATAAGAACAAAACATAGATAAGACTATAGTGTTGTAGTGGAGGTCATATAGTAACGTTGAATTGAATTTTTTGATGACTACCTATTGGTAGATTTGTATAGATACTTGTAGTTGCTTAACTAACAACTTAGTTGGGCATTTACATTTGCAGGATTATTTTATGTATATTGCACATATTTATGTAGTTGTTCCATCCTTATATGTATGCGATATAGTACGCATTCCAGTATTTGTAACTATATGATCTTAAGCTGTGGTTTTTACTACTAGTAGATGTGTAGTTTAGTGTAGAAACTCTAACGAGTCGTTATATAGATTATTGAACTAGTTTAATTTAAATTAATAATTACATGTTTCTGTTAACTATTTCAAACCACTCTATTCTTATCTATTCTTATTTCTTAAACTTAATTTTGTTAATTGTTTATATTTTTCAATTTATCATTTTTTATCTTTATTTTTAAAAATTATCACAATATAAATTATATTATAAAATATTTATTTACTACACGTTTTAATTATAAAATATTTTATATGTTTAAAATATATTTATATCTATAAAAGGGATATATTTGGGTAACCACTCTTTTGGGGATATATTTTGGTAATCACTCTTTTGGTTTCCACTTTTTAGTAGACCGTTATATTTTTTAGATGTAAAAAAAAATTATATCCTTTCTAAATAATATTCCGTAACTTCTAATATTTGTTTGTGTGTAACAATTAGAGGCACGAAGTGTCTCAACCCTTCTAATTTTATTATATATAAAAATATTTATCTTATATTTTACACAAACTAAAATATTAATATTATTTTCATTTAAAAAAAATATTTCGCTGAATTTGGATGAAAGGAAGTACCCAATGTTATTTAAGATATTTTCTTTGTATACTTAGAAAGTGTTTCCACATATAAACTACAAATAAATAGAAAGAAGTCTCATCCAACAATATGCAAAACAGTTTATCACCTTTATTTCCCGCACAATCATATTCAAATAATCAAATATTCCATATTCAAGCTACATACACAAAAGATATGACAAAACATGAAATCTTCTAAAAAAAATAAATAGAATTTAGGTATAATCATCTAGATATAGTGATGTTAATTTTCAATCAAAATTAAAATTTTATTTTGATAATATAATATAGATCTTATTATTATACTTTTTTTTTTCGTCCATGGAGTATCTACCGCCGATAGCAGTGACTAATCTCCTCGCTACGTTGGAGACACCTCAAAGAGTGAGATAGTTGGCCCCAAGATTTATTATTATTATACATTAATACATATTATCGATTGCAAAATTTTAATTCAATTAAAGAATACCACTAACTACACCTAAGAATTTGTACTTTAATTTTCTTTTGTACTTTCTAAAATTATAAAGTTTTTAAATTAATTATTATATTTATCGAGAAAAATACAAAATTCAAAACAAGAATTATAGCAAAAAAAAAATATGGTAGAAGATACGATTATAATATATTTTGTATTATCTTTAAGTCATATTTTTTTTCTCCAAAAAGATAATTCTTTTTTCTACTTCCTTTAATTATACATTTTTTGTTTCATTCTTTATCTCTTATCTCTTATTATATGAACGATTTCAAGGTCTATTTAAATTCTTCACTCTTTTGTTTTTGGTAGATTTCGAGTACACAAGAGGACCCTTTTCTTCTTCCACAAAGGTGACAATCATACTTCCATCCTTTTTCTATTTTTTTTCATCCTTTCTCTCAATTAAAACTCGACATCTTGAAATCCTCTTTTTACCAACACATACTTCTTTTAAGGTGCATTAGGATCATCGAGAGTTTTCATTGAAAGCTCATTCTCCTCCAATTGAAAATTCAGAATTGAGGTATAAATATGAAAAGAAGTTTTCATACTTGTGAATCTCATGGTTCTTTGGAGGATGCAAAACTTGCTCATAAATATTATTCGTCGTTGGATGATTATTCAAAGCTACAAAAGGTTAGTGTGATTTTCTTATTTTCATTGATGCTTGTAGGATGCACAAAATTGTGTCATTTTTTTCTTACTAAAAAATAAAATTTATATATGAATTTTTATTTTATTTTATTATATTTTTATTAATTATTATCATGCAATTTTTACGAAAGATTAAAATTCAAAATAAGAAATCGTCTTTTATATATATGTATATAGATAGATGATAATTGGTTTTCGTTTTAAATATTCGTTCTTCTTTTAACAAAAGAACTAAATATTCAAAAATATTTCTATTAGCGATAACTCTGATTGTTTTAAAACAGATATAATTCTATAATGGTTTCATAATAGAAAAGATATATTTATATAAGAAATAAACCTAATAAAGAGATATAATACAATATTTCTTCTCGTTATTAAGTTAATTATTTAATTTCATATATTTTCTATTTTCTATTTTTTCTTTTTTATTAGATAAGCATATATAAATTAATTACATAAAACGTATTTGTGTGTGATTTATTTTGGTTATTGAGAAAGAAATCATTAAAAAAAACATAAAAATAATTTGATTTGATTTATTTTAATTTAAATGTAATATCAAATCCTAAGTCCATCTTGGTCTAGTCGAGAAAATGTGAATTTTTTAAAAGCTTTATCTCCTTTGAATTTGAGTAAGTGTTAACTTTTTTTGGGGGTAGAGTTCATCAAGTGTTTACTAAAAATTATAACATTGCTACACAGGAAGTTACTTCTAAAAAAAGGAAATTGCAAGTGCGGAAGCGAAAGCGAAAGGTACTTCAAAACGATGTTGGGTATGAAACATTCGAAATTCGCATGTTCTTGTTATTATGTTCTCTTCTATTGAATATTTTAAATGACCAATACTTTTTTATTTCAGATTTTTGAGGCAACGACTTGCATATTTAAAAAAATTGCACATTGCTAAGGTTGAAACAAAACTTGGTCCAAGTCAAAATCAATATATTCATGAAGCATCCATCGAAAAAGAGCTGAATTGCATTGCGAATGTGGTATTGACTTTGCTTAAAATTTACTTTTGTTGTTTTCAATGTAATAAAAAAATATATAAGATGAGTATTAGTACCATATATTTTTTAATATGCTTGATTTAATACATATTTTTATTAATAGTTTAAAATTTTATTAAAAACTACAAAATTGTGAGTTGGTTTTGTTAAATATGGAGTAAAATTAAAAAAATTTATGATTTCTAGTTAATTTTAGTTAATAATAAAAGGTGTGATAAATTTTTCCATAAATTTGTTTTATCTTCAACCAAAAATAGAACTATGTTTGGTTTATTTAAATAAAAAAAATTGAAATCATATTCTTTGATGCAGACTAACACACATCAAGAAAACAATGGAGAGAAAGATCAGATGGGAAAGACACATAGTGTGGCTGATGATGAGTCTGTGAAGTTGTCAATCAAAGAAAAGAAAAGTGAAAAAAAGAAAGTTACATGGAAAGAGGAGGTTGTTGTGCATTGTATTTAATATTTAATATATTTTTTTTTATTTATCTTCGACAAGGAAGACACAACTCAAGTTGGCTTAGGAAAATTTTGATATTTGCTGCATCATCTTGTGCACCGATAGATAATAAATTTAATTATTTGTTTTAGATATTGAAAAAATGATTATGATGAGTATTATTATTATAAGTCAGTCCTATTAACTCCGCTAATCCATCGGATCAAATGATAGGTTAATCCGTCATAATCCGTCAACATGCATTTGAAGTTTCTATTAAGAAAATAGTAATTTATAAATTTGTAATTTGATTTTGATTTTATTGTATGTGGATTAATTTTTTATTTAATTTTATTATAAATTTGTAATTTTTTTTGGTTGAACATATATTATGCATAATACGTATGTATTTTTAATTTTATGTAGTTATATTTATTTATTTGTAGTATTTTTTTTATTTGAACATAAAATATATTTTTTTTGTAATTTTTTTAGTAGTATACGGGCGGGGCAGACCAATATTCCTAGTCCCATTTTCAATGACGAGCTGGCCCAGCCCAGCCTATTTTTGGCGGGTCATTGACGGGCTGCGTCAAAATGGATCAAACTGACCCATTTTGTCACCTCTACTCAAAGCAATCGAAAATAACATTGACATGAATAAGTATGTAAACCAATTATGATGTGAAATGATCATTATTTAGAAATGTTTATCTTATGAGACTCGAAATTATTAAGGGCCTTTGAATTATTTTGTTCATGAAAAGGCTAAAAAACAATAGATAATTTATGTGTAATTTTTGCGAACACTCATTTTCTCGACCTAGACAAAGGATTGTTATTTCTAAAACAAAACAAAAAAAAAACTATCTAATTTCTAGTTGAAAATTAATGAGTAATCTCAACTTAGACTTATAGATTAAATTTTCAATCAAGTATTTAAAAGAAAAAAAATTATTTATTAATCATGTTACAACTTATTAGCAAGAATTAAAAATTCTTGTTATATATATTATTTGACTTATTTATATTTTTCTGGATAATCATAGTATTAGTATGGAATATTTATTGTTAAAAATAATGATTAATATTTGTTGAAGACTATGAGTGTACATAAGATGAGTATTTCTTTCCTAACATAATTTATTTCATATCTAAATCTAAGATTTAAACTTTGAAATTAATTAATGAACACAAGCCGTTATCACTTATGTCAGTCAATATTGGTATTTGACTTATTTATATAATATATTATTATGATAACAAAAATAAAAATACCTGCTAGGATACATCCTAGGCAAAAATTAGGGTTTCTAAACAAAAAGAAAAAAGGAGCCCCAAGATGACTCAATACACCAAACGACCAATATGACTAATGTTGCACATCAATCAAAGCAGTCCATTCGAGGGAAATAGAAAAGAAAAGCCACAATCTAAAAAAGGGGGAAACTAAAATATGCATCGCATGCATCTAAAAAAAAACATCTCACACACTTAGAAAACTTTATTTATCAAAGGGGAATTATTCAAAATATGCAATAACTACCATCATGCATAAATAAGCATTCAACATCTTTTTGCTTCTCAACAAGAAAAGTCAAAAAGTAGCCCAAATTAGGGGCATCAACAATCATCAATCAGGAGAGCATAAACAATCAGTCATCAACGAACCAAAGGGACTTCACAAGCAGACACTTGGAGAGGCATCACAATACTCACATGGCAGGGGTAGCACTAGAATCCCTGTCACCCATCTACTCCTTTGCCCACCAGCACAAGGGCACCCACCTACGAGCAATCCTCCTCTTCATCAGACAACCTCTCCATAGACATAAAAAGGCAAGCTTCGTAAATGTTGAAAAAAGCCGAAGCATTTAGAAAAATAGAAGAAAAAGGCAAGCTTCAAACATGAAAGAGCCGAACCGAAACAAAAATGAAATCCAGAAAAAAAACCTACCACAAGCAAGCGCTTGGAGAGGCATCACAATACTCACGTGGCAGGGGCAACACTGGAATCCCTGCCAGCCATCCATTTCTCTGCCCACCAACATAGGGGCACATCAAACCTCTCCTGCCCATCCACCTAGGGGCAGTCTTTCATCCCACAACACCAATGAGAAGACATCAAGTACAAGTATAAAAAGGGTTACCTGACCTTAGTGAAAGGGTTGCTAGATCCCCAAAACTAGTACAAAGAGGGTTACCTGACCTTAGTGAAAGGGTTGCTAGATCCCCAAAACTAGTACGAAGAGGGTTACCTGACCTTAGTGAAAGGGTTGCTAGATCCCCAAAACTAGTA